TCCGTCATTTCTCTCCGTCGGACAGTTTCTCTTGAAGTGCCCCATTTCACCACATGCATGGCATACTTGAATTTTACTAGCATCGGTAGTTGAAGTGATGTATTGAGTCGGGGTCCTATGTGAGATAGCTTCTTCGCCATTTTTAGTCCTTGGACAATTTCTTTTGAAATGTCCAGGTTCGTCACAACTGTAACAAACCTGACCCATTTTCACACCAAGAGCTTGGAGAGTTGATTGTGCCGGTGCCCTGCAGAAACGAGTGGTGTGTCCTTTTCTGTTGCAGTTCTTACATCACAATTCGGGACATTTTCCTACGTGGTGGAAGTTGCCTTTCTTGCAATCTGGTAGATTTCCAGTGTATCGTCGTGCTGGCATTGGTGTTGGAGTGGCAGATGTCGTGGCTGCAGAAGTTGCCACAGGTTGTTGTCTTTTGGCAAGTTTCTGAGATAACTTGCGCTCCTTTTTGTTCCAAAATTTCCGTTTATTGTTCTTAGGTTTGGGAGCTGAAGTATCATCATGGCTAGCCCCTTGTCGGTTTCCTGGTGGGTTGCTATGGTTTGAAGTGTTGAAACTGTTTCCATTCTCATTTGGGTTGTTGGCATTGAATTGCGCCATGACAACTGTCACTGCGGCTGTGACCGTGGCCTGAAATGTAGCCTTCGAAAAGATTCATGAAAGCCACTTTGGTTTCTCACCGTAATTATGTTCAAGGGGTTTCTAGTGTAAAATATAAGTTTGGGTTTCTGACGTATGATACCATGCCTTCCAACAAGTGTTCGATGAAAGTTCTGTTCTAATTTTTATGATTCATTATACAGTCGTGGTTAATATCCTTCATTTTCTATTTGGCTCCATCAATATTATACTTATCAGTAGAATGGATAATTGTATTATGTGCTTTTGGAGTAATCATTTAACTGATGTTCTGTGCAGAAAACCCAAAAGTGGAATGTTAGAACTAGATTGTAATTGCATTCTACCAATGCCTCAGGTAATGAATTTACATCTTTCTTTTTTGTAAGTATTAGCATGCTTGATCGTTTGGTCAAGGGTTAATTACATGAAATTAAAATGTATAATGGCGCAAGTATTGTCACCTTTTTTCCATGATTAGAACAACCAATGAGTTGAAATATAGCTATAATTCACCACTCATCTATGATATTTCATGATTATTTTTTTTTCTGTATGTACTTTATCATGAATATGCATTAGATTTCATCCTCAAGAAGCGTATATCCTTTTCATGATCAATACTTTTGATTTTTTTCTGAATTCCCCTTTTATTTTTGTTTTTTCACATCCTTAAAGCATAACTTCAGAAATTTTTGGATATGTGTATGTATAGAAATCGTTTCAAATGGTCAAGAAGCCCATGTATAATTATAAGTGTAATTTGAACTTCTATCTTTCTTAAACATATGATCTAATAAAAAAAACTCAGATTTATCATTCTTGTTCTCCATGGATTTAGAGATCAATTGTTGTGAAGGAGGGCAATCCTAATTTTACTTTAGGTCAAGAAATGTCAACTAAAACTTAAGTTACTTTCGTATATTGATTAAAATTTGATGTTAGCTAGAGTAATGCGAGAATTTGTTGCCTTAATCGGTAATCACATATAATAGCATTATAGGATATGGTCATTTATTTTTCCTGGCACCACACTAACACTTTTAATTTAGTCTTTTTTAGGCAATTTATTTTTGTCATTTTATGCAATTGCAACATTTTTTGTTAATCAATAATGATTACTTTTTTTAGTGTAGGATTGTATTACCAAAATGGATGGAATTTAGTCCTCAAACATGCAAAAATTAATTTATGTTGTTTTATGTAAAAAAAATTAAGTGGATAAAACATAATTTGACAAAAAAAACATTGCTTATTGTGTGCGTTAAGCTCTTATTCTTATTATGATTCAAAATCATCTGATTCCCTTGATTGCTTATATAGTGATGTGCATGATATGAGTAGCCGGGACACTATCTCTTCAACTATTCTTTAAAAGAGGTAAGTCTCCGGTAATGATTTTGTTGTTCATTTATTTATTAATACGTGTAGAAAATGGTCTATTTTAGTTTATAGTTTTATATTTATCTAAATTTGTTGTAAACCAACTATCAAATTTGACTATGCAGTACTATGATGAGTGTTAACAAATGAAAGTATATTGCTTTTTTTAGTGAAAAAGAATATGTACAGTGCTATTTTTGGTTAATAAATGCAAGTTAATTGCAGTTTTTTGGTTAAAAAAAAGAGTAAACAAGTTGCAAACGGTGAATTAGTTCAGGTATATTGCTGTTTTTGGAAAAAAAAAATGAGCAAGTATGTTGCTGTACTTGGTACGTAAATATAAGTATAATGTTGTTTTTGTTAAAAAAAGCAAGTTTTTTGCTATTATTGGTGAATAAATATAAGTGTGTTTATGTTTTTCGTAAAAAAAGTAAGTGTTGCTATATTGGTCAACTTTTATTTATTTTTTAGTTTAATCATTATTATTTTTTTCTTTTGTTTCTTGTAGATGCATACCATCATGCCATGAGATATATTAAGGTGTATAAATTGTTTAATTCGTGTGAGTTGCGGGTCGGCTTGGTGTAGTGTCTTTTTGCCAGGGGAGAGGTAAGGGAATGTATGAGTTTTACGTTAGTACATCTTTAAATCTATGGTGAATTGGCAAAAATAAGTACTTTCTTTTGTGACATCTATCTATTCAGGTGTGGGTAGGTTCCTGCCAACATGTGTGTTTCCTCGACTAGATCCAACTTCAGCTTTTGCTCCTGATTTGTGCTCATTTTTTTCCGCGACTTCCCTAAATAACCGCACATTTATAAATTCTAAGCAAAATAAGTATCCTTGGTCCAAATTTGCAATAAAAACACAACATAAAGTACAAGAAATATTCCAAAATATATTTATACTTATGGTCATATCACTTGCTTTGGAAAATATGGTCAAGCGATTGAGAAGTTTGGACTGTAGAATTGTAGATTGATCAAGTATATGCAATGAGGTATTGGCATAATCCTTTTCGTTGTTTATGTTGATGAGATTGTTATCATCAAAAGTGATGAAGCATGCATTTCATCTCTCAAAACTTTCTTACACATTGGGTTCCAAAAAAGGATTTAGGAACATTAAAGTACTTCCTAGGTGTTGAGGTAATAATAGACAATAAATAAATACTTTTGTGCCAAATGAAGTACGTATTTGACTTCATGACTAAAACAATAAAATTGGGTGCTAAAACATGTAATGCGCCAATGATTCCTAATTTGTAGATCTTGAAAAAAGTGGAGCTGTTTGAAGATCCTAAGAAGAATAGAAGATTGATGAGAAAGTTAAATTATAACATGGTAACTCAACCAGGAATTGCATATTCAGTTAGCATGGTAAGTCAATTCATGGCAGATCTAACTAAAGATCATTAAAAATCATTGGAACAATTTTTTCTCATTCTATGAATATCATATGCATAGTTGGGAGGAAAACTTAAAACTAACATTTGATCTATGATTGGGATCATCAAATTGTTTGGACCAGAAGCCATAATATGTCTTGGCATGTAGGAATTCCATTTGCACATTTACAAATGTGAGATGTTCGTAGGGAATATGGTTACTCTGATTCATTAATAATATTTCCTTATGATCCACCTAAATGGTTTTTTTTCATTTGAAATGCTTAGTTTGTTTATATGTTGGAAGTTGAGGTTTCTTAGGATCCTTTTCTTTAATGTGTTGGTTATTCCATTACAAGAACTACTCTAAGAAAGTGATGTTAAAATATATTTCAACAATACAAATAGCATTGTTTTTGTAGTAAATCTAGTCTTACTGACTTTTTGTATCATGTTGGTTGACATTGCAAATCACTATAGTGTGAACCAAACGTTTTGTTGAGAGGCTGTAGGGAAACATGAAAAAGACAAGGAAGATAACATGAACATAAGGTAGCAAAAGGTCCAAGTTTTGTAGTTTGCTTGTTATGTATCATTTACACATTACTTTATAAATTTTTATGATCTAAATTTTAAATTAGTATAAAACGTTTTGGTCATTTCTATATTTTTTATGAAATGTAAAGACTCTTTTTATTGTTTGATCACTTTGTTTAAAATATGTCAATGGTCACAACAAGTTAGTGACTTTCCATAATTAGCAGGGTGTTTTTGGGTTACACATAAGAATATAAGATAAGATATGAATATAAGATATGATTTAATCTAATTTTATAAAAGAGAAAGACTAGGGGTTTAGTTTATTAACACACCATTGTTATGGTGAGTTAATATGAAATTGATTATGCAGAAGGGGTTAAGAGGAAATATCCATTTCTAGTAACTATTTTTTTTAGGGATAATGTGAACTTAACAATCAAGAAAGGATAAATATCATATTTAAAGGGATAAGCCATAAAAAAAAGAGAGTCAATCCTATAAGGAATAATTATCATATTTAAAGGGATAAGCCATAAAAAAGGAGAGTCAATCCTACAAGGAACTGCTCCTTCTTATATCGGATTAACCCTTATCTCGATATCTGTTTTGCTTGAACGTCGTCTTCCTTTCGGCTTGTGCAAACTCTCAACAGGTCCTCCTCTTAAGTTGTTCGACTTTTGCCAAAGAGAAAAGGAAGATAAGACTTGGTCTCATTGTTTGGATCAAACTTTTGGGGTGTGACTTCATTGGAGAGGTTTTGGTTTAGACCTTCAGATAATCTAAGAAAAAAGACCAATTTGGTTTTTACTTCATTTGAAATAAAGGTTTATAATCGATCAATACTTCTAGTTTTAATTTTTGTTGCTAAAAGTTCACTAGAACAAGATCCATGGTGGATATGATGATTAAAGTTTAGTTTATTATTTCTTTCGTTGATATGTGCTCAAAAATCATAATACGCAACACACTTGATGTTAAGGAATTCATAATAATTCTTTTTTCGTATGAAGATATGAATTTTGAAAGTCATCGACCAAATAGTAAAAGAAAATGAATGCTTCAAAGGTATTAAGTAGATAAATATAGGTTATTGATTAGGTTGTGCTTGTTTCAATAGACATGTCTTTTTGGTAGGTATCATAATTTGAATTTCCCTTTCTTCTTTATTAGAAGAGGAGCATTAGAATACACATGAATAAGATAATGCAATTGGTCATGCTCTTTTGGAATTCATACACATAAGGTGATCTTGTTTTAGGATTTGTTTTTGTAGAGGTGGTCAATTTGAACCTGCATCACAAAACCAAAAGAAAGAAATTCAACCAAGTAGTCTGGAAACTAGTCTGCAATGGAGGAAATCATATATACAAGTGTAGCTAGCTAGTACCTTGTAACAACTAAGAAATTTGTCTCTTTTCTTCTTCAATGTTGGTGTCAGCAAATCTTTTTCCCCTTCAAAGGTTTTTGCTTCCACAATAACGCCCTTAATATGTTCAAAACCTCTTAGCTACACCAAACCAAACCACATTTAGTTAGAAAATATATATGTTGAGATGGAAAAAATTACAAGGTAAAGCAGTACCTTGTTTCTTTGTGCCGTAGATTTTAGTTCACAGATGATGTAATCTTGTAGCTGGGTGAGGGTGCAGAGGCTGGAGAAGCAATTCTTGTGGCCATTTTTATGTCCCCATCTTTCTACATGTTCTTTGTTAGGTACCACTACCGCCACCAATGATGACTTGAAACTATCCCCGTACACCCATATCTAAAACCACCACACGGTCATATATATACTTTCCAAATACTAACATTGTAAGTACTAAAACAAATGACGATGAATAATGAGAATTATTACATCTTCAACGATGGGAGTGATGCCATAAACTTTCTCTAGATGCTCAAGTGCAACATACTCTCCTTGTGACAACTTTATCAAATGTTTCTTCCTGTCAATAATTCTCACTGCTCCATTAGGTAACATTTCCCCTATGTCACCTGATAAGAGAATCCACAATGTAAGTAATATAAGAGTTGAATAAGATGATGACTATGATTGAATAGAAGTTAAATGGAGTATAAGTAATGACATTTTAATGATCATTAAATGGTTTAATAGAAATAATAAAATGGTGATTTAGGATTGAATAGTTGTTTAATCGATTTTGGGTGTTAAAAGTAAAGTTGTATAAGTATTTAATGGATGATGTGTTTATGGTGTAACAATCCATTTAACTCTATAGAATTCAACAGATTGTTGATGTCATGATCTCTCTCTCTCTCTCTCTCTCGCTCTCTCTCTCTCTCTCTCTTCATATATACTTATAAAACTAGCATTTTTTCTTGAATCTCATGCATTTGAAACCCCATTTTTTAACTTCCTCAAACCACATTCATTTGAAACACCCCCCCCCCCTTTTTAACTAATGCAACTCAAAAGTTTTATTAATTATGATTTAACACTCAAAAGTTTTATAACTTATATTATGTTTAATTAGCATTTAGTGAAAAGTTTACTATAAAAAGACCAATCTTTTGGGAAGACATGCATATAAATCATATACAAATTTCAAAAAGAAAACAAACTTAAAGGTTTTTGTGTTGGGTTGAGGTCTTATGACCACTTTTGGAGATATGATATTATATTAGAGCTTTTAATTTGTAAGTTTGTTCTACTAATTCGTTTTTATATTTTCTTAGTTTTTGGATTATTGTAATACAGTTGTTGTATATTGTGGTTTAATCGTTAATATATTGATCATATGTTATATAGGGTGATGTCGAAAATATTTAATTAAATATTTTAAATATGTTTTTTTTTGTTTTGTAATTGTACCGTTTCAAAAAAATAATTAACTAAAACTCATACATATGTTATACTTTCCATCTCTTTCTCTCTCTCTCTCTATATATATATATATATATATATATATATATATATATATATATATATATATATATATATATATAATAGAGGTCAAAACACTTCAACCAAAATTAATTTAAAATCTAATATTTCAAATACTTTTTAATAATGATTGTAAAAGTTTCAACATGTGTTACTTAATTGATTGATTAATAAAAATATTAATGTTTTGAAACTCCTAACTCTTAAACTTATATTATTTAATCTGTTAGTTAACTAAAATATTTTTCCTACATAAAGATAACATTTTTATGTTTGGTTACTCATATTTGTTTATGTAATTAGAAAACAAGGTGTACATAGAATGACTACTTCAATTTCACATAGGAATCAATACCACTAGAGAGATATGTTGTCTTTAACCGGTGGTAGGAAATCCATATACCCTTTTTAATTATTTATATTAATGCTTAGTAATATATATTTTATATTCCTATTCACCTTAATTTTTTAGGTACAAATTAAGTAAGAGGATTCTCGGCGTACTAACATAAAGTCAAACGTACGCCTTGCAAAATATGTAATTAAAATTAAATATCATATTTAGTAATCGAATTATTTTAAAACTCTTGATGACATTTATGTATAATGATATAGTTTGTGTGACTTCATTCTTAATTATAATGTTTAATATTTGAAAGTTCATATATGAAACCTTGGATGTTTTGGTGTAATATAAATAGTGTAATACAAAGTTTATTAGTTCAATATTGTTTATTAATAGCTCATTCAAAACAACTTATTTCTTATTTTATCCAAAAAATATTATCGGACATAAGAAAATTAGATTATATTAAATACAAAAACTTATAATATATATTGGATATTATAAAAGTAAAAGTAAAGTTTATAATGTATGTACTGTATTAGATAGTATCAAAATATAAGTTGATGAATTTTTATGTTATTTGATAATTCGGTTAACGCCCAAACCATGACTAAAAACGTAAATTTCAACATATTTCTATTTTTTCTTATAATTATTTTAACCACTTAAATGCATTTTTGCGCAACGCGCGAGGTTACGCCTAGTTATATATATATATATATATATATATATATATATATAATCAAATCTACAAGCCAAGTAAGAAGTTAAACCTGTATGAAACCACCCATCTACCATCACCTCATTTGTCAACTCTGGATTCTTGTAGTATCCAGCAAAACAAGATTTACCCCTGACACATATTTCACCTCGTGGAGGATACGCTAAAGGATCATAACCCATATCTGCAACTTCTTCAAGACGTAACTCAGTGTATACAAAAGGAGGACCAACACTCCCCACCATTGACATTTCGTATGGATACGCAACTGCAGCTAAACCACAAGTCTCTGTCAACCCTGTCACAACAAAAACTTATTATTATTAGGGTGCTACTATACATACCCTGTCACTCACACAAATTGCCAAATTATGGGGGTACACACACTCACCCACTTATACAGGGTTACACGAAGTAGTTGGAAGGTACATATAGAATTAGCCTATTATTATTAATATGCATGCAAATAATATTACATCTCATCATCAAACTACACTTACCATATCCTTGTAGTACAAAAGCACATGATGTGACCCTCAAGAACTCCTCCACCTCGGGGCTTAAAGGGGCTCCTCCAGATACAATAAGACGTATCCTACCACCCAATCTGTTCCTAATCTAAAAGAAAACAATCATCTTTAAATTCATTTGTCGTTTAGCCAGACAAATACATTTACATAATTGAAGGATTCAGATAAACGTTCAAAAGTTGGAGTAGAAAATAAATGAAACCTTTCTGAACGCCAACATATCTGCAAACGGTGATGCATAATTTTGCTTATAACCTGATTTCAAACCATCTAAGTTTGCTGCAGATCAACAGTAATTTCAAAACCTACAGTAACTTCACAAAAACCAATTGTGTGGGACAAAAACATTTATTGATAGATTACTGATTATATAGAATGTCAAATATTTTCCTCCGCCTTGGATTAAGTTCTTCTAGTCCTTTCAACACACCTGAAAGACGACACGTATAACTGACCAGTAAGAAACTATAGAGTAGAAAAAAAATGATTAGGAAAACTGCAAAAAGGTTCCGTTGAGACCCAAATTTCTACACCTTCATAAATTCTTTCCAAAACACGAGGTACCCCAGCCAAAAATGTTGGTTTCAGTTCAATCATATCATCTTGTATAGCATTTATATCCTTCAAAAGATAGCATTCATATGATCAAGTAACACACACAAACACACACACACATATAAGATTTTACCCCATGATAGAAGCCAACAGAAGCGCCCATACGAAAAAAGTATTCTTCAATCATACGGTCAAGGATATGTGCGAGAGGCAGAAAGGATAAATAAACATCATCTATAGTCATCTATCATATATGGTTCCGCAGTCATGAGCCAGAAAAAAAAAAGCGTGAATATATATGAAAGCAACAAGCCAAAGGAAAAATGATCGAGTAAGTCATCATGAAGATATCTTCATACCTTTTCCTCAAATTGTTTCATAAAAAGATCGACCCCAAATATAGTTGTTGTAGCATTTTCATGTGTCAATATAACACCTTTTGGATCTCCATTGGTGCCACTTGTGTACATAATTGTACATATGTTAGATGGCTGAGGTGTCTGCAGCTCTGATGGATGTTGGCTACCCTACTCGATCAACATCATAGAAAAATGTTGAATTTAATTACTCAAATCATAAGCATATATATCTTGATGGAGAAACATGATGTTATGAGAGTTGACGAACCATATAAAGGAAGTCATTCCATGAGAATGATTTTATTCCAATGGAATCTGCCTTTTCCTTTTCCTCATCTTCCATGGAAGTGAAGCAAACAATCACTGCATGTACACAGGGTCAAAAGAAATTGATTCGGTTGTCACTGGATGCATGCAATTCCATATATTTACAAGGTTTTCTCACCCTTGAGACGTCGAGTATGTGTACATTCAGGATCCAGTAGCTGGAAAATTAAGCAAAGCACTTAGTTATTTAGCACACAAGCTGACGCACCAATATATTTTAAGGAAAAACTAAGCTTGGCCTGGGTTCTCACCTGTTTAACCTTTTTATCTTGGACAAAAACAATATCAACTTCAGCATGCTCCAAAATATAGTTTACTGCCCCTGCCCCTGTTAGATATATATTTATAGAAATCCAATCAAGATCGAAGGAATGAAGGGTTTTAGGTTAATTTATAATTAAGTGAAAAAGGAAGAAAGAAAAGTCTGGTTTCAATGAAGCAAGTTTTACCAAGGGT